GCACCTGTCCAGTTTTTCTGCTCTCTTCCGTTTCTCTCTCTCTCCTCTCTGCTCTGTACCTAGTCATATCTACCTCCCTCTCTTTCCTCTCCTTTCCTTGCCTGTATCTCTCCTCCTATATATTTTTTTTTTTAAAGATTGGCCCTGAGCTAACATCTGTTGCAAATCTTCTTTTTTTTTCTTCTTCTCCCCAAAGCCCCCCGCCCCGTACATAGTTGCATATTCTAGTTGTGAGCGCCTCTGGTTCTGCTATGTGGGAGGCCACCTCAGCATGGCTTAACGAGCAGTGCTAGGTCTGCACCCAGGATCCAAACCAGCGAAACCCTGGGCTGCCGAAGCAGAGTGTGCAAACTTAGCCACTTGGCCACGGGACCAGCCCCATCTCCTCTCATTTTTTATGTAGCTAAAAAATAGAATTGGAAAATTCTAGATATACATATTCTCCTTGTACCTAGTGACTGAAGATATATATTCTCTATTTTAAACATTTAAACCAGGTGAATTTAATCTCTCATGTTTTTTTTAAAAGAAAACAAAAAACCAATTAGATCTCTCTATAACTTTCTGGCTATGGACTCTGGGCAAGTTATGTACATCTCTGTGCCTCAGTTTCCTCACTTGTAAAATGAGGATAATAACAGCACCTTTTTCATAGAGTCATTGTGAAAATGAAATGAGTTGATACATATAAACAGCTTTTTTTCACCTTTTAACAGCCTTATTAAAAGGGTTATGGTATATTAATTAATAATTACCATTATCATACCATAAAATTTACCCTTTTAAAGTGTACGATTCAGTGGTTTTTAGTAGATTAACAGAGTTGTGCACCATCACCATGATCTAATCCTAGAACATTTTCATCACCTCAAAAAGAAACTCAGTAGCAGTCACTTTCATCTCCCAAACACCCAGCCTTTGGCAACCAGTAATCTACTTTCCATCTCTATGGATTTGCCTATTGTGGACATTTATATAAAATCATATTATACCTAGTCTTCTGTGACTTGCTTCTTTTACTTAGCATATTTTCAAGATGTCAACCTTCATTGATGTTCATAGCATATATCAGAACTTCTTTTCTTTTTTTTATTTGAGTTTTGAATGTATGCGTATATATGTATATAATTTATTTTTTCTTCTTGGTGCTTTTAAAATTTCCTAATTTTTTTCCAGCTTTATTGGGCATAATTTACACATAAAATTGAATATATTTAAGGTATACAATGTGATGATTTGATATACCTATACACTATGAAATAATTACTACAATAAAGCTAATTAACACATCCATCACCTCACATAGTTACCTTTGTTGTGTGTGGTGAGAACACTTAAGATTTACTCTCCTAGCAAATTTCAAGTATACAACACAGTATTATTAAGTATAGTCACCATGGTGTACATTAGATCCCCAGAATTTATTCATCTTATAACTGAAATGGTCAACAGGCACATGAAAAGATGCTCAACTTCACTAATCACTAGGGAGATGCAAATCAACACCACAATGAGACATCACCTCACACCGTTAGAACGGCTGTCATCAAAAAGACAAGAGATAACAAGTGTTGGTGAGGATGTGGAGAAAAGGGAACCCTTGTAGACTGTGGGTGGTTCAGCCACTATGGAAAACAATATGGAGGTTCCTCAAAAAATTAAAAATAGAACTACCATATGATCCAGCAACCCTGCTTCTGGGTATATATCCAAAGGAAATGAAACAAGGATCTCAAAGAGATGTCTGCACTCCCACGTCATTGCAGCATTATTCACAATAGCAAAGACAAGGAAACAACCTAAGTGTCTATCAATGGATGAATGGATAAAGAGGTGTGGTGTGGGTGTGTGTGTGTGTGTGTGTGTGTAATATTATTCAGCCATAAAAAAGAAGAGAAATCCTGCCATTTGCAACAACATGGATGAATCTGGAGGACATTATGCTAAGTGAAATATGCCAGGCACAGAAAACAAGTATTGCATGATCTCACTTATATGTGGAATCTAAAAAAGTCAAACTCTTGGAAGTAGAGAGTAGAATGGTAGTTGCCAGGGGCTGGGGTATTGGGGAAATGGGGAGATGCTGGTCAAAAGATAAACAACTTTAAAATGTGCATGGTAAATGAATGTGCTGTTTGCTAATATTATAAAATGATTTTTTTTTTTTTAAATCCTCCCTGTGGGTGAGTGGGCCTCAATTTTAAATCTTGCACTTTGGGGCTGGCCCCATGGTTAAGTTCTGCGCGCTCTGCTTCGGTGGCCCAGATTTGATCCCCAGGCATGAACATACACCATTCAGTAGCCATGCCGTGGTGGCGACACATATACGAAATAGAAGAAGACTGGCACAGATGTTAGCTCAGGGTGAATCTTCCTCAAGCAAAAAGGGGAGGATTGGCACAGATGTTAGCTCAAGGCAAATCTTCCTCAGCAAAAAAAAAAATGAATGAATGAATGAATGAGTTTTGTACTTTGCAGTAGAACCTCTGCCTGAACTTACTTCTGTGATTATTTCAGGAGCTCCTCTCACCCAGAGTCTACAATGGTCAAGCAGGACTTTTCTATTTAGTCAGCATTAGTGAAGATTTACCACTGAGAAGAAGAGAGTGAGGAATTCAAGATCAGGCAGCACCTGGTTCCTGGAGATGAGTTGCTGGAAGGTTCTGACAGAGAACTGGGTCTTGAATCTTCTCCTGTGTTGGGTGATACTGACTCTGGAGCAGCAGATCCACACTCACACCTAACTTTGGGCAACAGTTAATTGCTATCTTAGCCAGCTCTGAGTGCTATAACAAAAATACCATAGATTGGGTGGCTTAGACAACAGAAATTTATTTCTCAGTTTTGGAGGCTGGGAAGTCTGAGATCAGGGTGCCAGCGTGGTCAGGTTCTAGGGAGAGCCCTCTTCCTGGCGTGCAGATGGGCACCTTCTTGCTGTGTCCTCACAGGGTAGAGAGAGCAAGCTCTAGTCTCTTTCTCTTCTTAGAAGGACACTAATTCCATCATGGGGGCTCCACCCTCAGGACCTCATCTAAATCTAATTGCTTCCTAAAGGCTGCATCTCCTAACACCATCCCATTGGGGGTTATACTTTCAACATCAGAATTTGGGGAGGGGGGGACACCAACATGCAGTCCATAACAATTGCTACTTAACTGTTTCCTCTGTCTTTTTTATTGTAATTATTTGATATTCCATTCTGTCTTCCTTCCACGCATTGAGCTGCTTGAGGGATGGGGGGCTACCTTGAATCCACTGCTCCTCGCACATTCAATCAAAGTTTGTTGAAAGAAAAGAGCCAATCCGTAAGCCTGGACTTTCTCTTTTGAAAATGTACTCATGAGTAGAGAGTCTGCCAGTTGTCCCAGAAAACCGTTTTTATTCAAACACACTGCACACACTTAAAAATATATTTAGACTAGAAGGAAATTATTTCAGTGAACAAAAAATAGTTAGTTTCAATGTTTGATGGTATGCAATCATTCTCTCACAACCCAGCAATTTGTGTGACAATAATCACACAAAACATCACTGCTTAGGTTTATAAATATTTAAAGAAAGAATCCATTTTTAAATTTGACACTGTTAACACATAAGGTAGAACAACAATAGAGTTCAAGAAGACAAGTTGAAAAATTCATCACGATAGAATGAAAGGCCACCAAACTCTCCCATGTACATTCTAAGGACATGTAGCTCTGCTGAAGTCTCACTGACCTAGAGGGAAACAATATCTGGAGTCTACCACAAGTAAAAAGTAGTCTAATATAGTTTTTTTTCTTTTGAGAAATATGCAAATATGCCCTGAATTAAATTGCTTCTAACTCCAAAGTCTATTAGGGCAAGAAACCCGTTTTCCAATTCAATGGTACATCCCCCTCCGGCTGAGAAAAATGCTGCAAGCAAAATGACATTTGAAAACAGTATTTTAAAATTTTTTTATTATTTTTATTTTATTACATTCTTAGGAGAAATATTCACCGCATGCCATTTGCGCTCACACAACAGAAGCTGGAATAGCAAAGCACCAGAGATGAACGTCGGAGAAGCCTTTGGGTGAGGCTAACCAAGGCTGAGCCCAAATCAATACCCTTCATAGCTGTCTGTTTCCACAGAAAGAAGTTTGTTCTCTGTGAATTCTAGTGGGAAAGAATGACAATGATCATACCTCTTCTTTGAAAAGCCACTGTCCTTCGACGCCTTGCACAGTACTTCACGCTATTCGCAGCGCACTTCATTCCGTCATTTATGTTCCTGGTAATGCGGGCATCGGGATCCTCTCACCGATGGCGGGAACTGAGGCTCCAAGGGTGTAAGAGTGACCTCCTAAGGATTTCATGGGCAACAAGGTGACCGGCGCTTTTTCTATCAGGAGGCATGGAGGTGTCGCTGCCCCGTTAGCATGCTCTTTAGCCAAAAGGCTTTTCGATTTTAAGAAAAATCAGACCCTGACCAGCCACCCCACACTGCCAAGGGAAAGCAGGTGACCGTGTTTACAATGTTTAACAAGCAAAAACTCCACGTCCTAGTGGCACGTCCACCGCCAAAGGGGCAACGGGAGCTGCGTCGGTGCCGCCGGTACCGAGCAGGGCAGCTGGGTCAGCCCTGCGCTCCGAAGGGCGACGCGCGGGGCAGGGCCACAAGGTACCTCATCCGGAATCCCGCCCCGCGGACCGGGGATGCGGTGAAAGGAGGTGGCTCAGGCATGGAACCGCCGACCCGGCAAGCTGCTGGGGCCAGCTTTGGGTCGGGGCTCTTTAGAACTTGAACTGGGAGGTCTAGCCCGGCCGCCCGCACAGCGAGCAGGGCAACAGCCTGTCTGCCCGCCCCAGCCGAAGCCACGGTTTCCGCGACGCGGGGTGGGGGAGGGGGGGGGAGGCGCTCGACTCTCGACTGCTCGCGTCTGGCGGCGGCGGGCGGTGCTCGCGGCGGCTGGGGCTCGGAGCTCGCGGAGTCGGGTCTGGCCGCGCAGGCGCGGCGCGCTCAGCAGCGGCAGGGGTCCTTGGGCGGGGGCGGGCGCGGGCGCGGCGAGGCGGGCATGTCGAGGACCTCGAAGGCAGTGCTGGGCCTCTCGGTGGTGCTGACGGCGGCCACCGTGGCCGGCGTGCATCTGAAGCAGCGGCAGGACCAGCAGGTCGGTGTCACGTGACCGTCTCTTCGCGGGCCGCGGCACTCTGGTCCCTCCTCGTGGCTCCCCGCGCCGCCGCGTCTGGCCCCGCTCCTGGCCGTGCTGCGGCGGCCTGGCTCCCCCACGCTTCCCCCCTGCGGCCCGCCTCCCCCACGCCTCCCCCTGCTGTCCGGCCGCCGCGCGCTCCGCCCGGGGCGCTGCAGCCCCGCGGCCGCGCGCGCCTTCGGGGCCCAGGGGAGCCCCGGGCAGTCCCGGCCCTCCGCGCCGGAGTCGGCGGGCTCCGCGCACGCGCGCCCGCGGGCTGTCGGCCAGGCTGTTTCCCAGGGGCAGCCGGCCCGCGGGGTCGGCGACCTTTCAGCACCTCGCTTGGGCCGCGGGAGGGTAGAGGCGGGGAAGGGTTTCCTTGGGGTGCACCCAGCAAATGACCGGCCTACTGCCACTCCCAGGCTCAAGGTTCGGTTCTTACCTGTTTAAATGCTAATAAGGTTTTATCCCCTGAAAGAGAAGGCTCCCGCGCACTCGCCTTCGTGCCTTTGGCCGAGGTAGTTGGGTGAAATAGTTAGGTTTTTTTTTTTTTTTAATTAAGGAACAGTTTGCTATGGAGACTAGATTCTGGGAACAACAAGAGATACCAGCTTCCAAATTTTCTTTTTTCAATTTTTTTACTAATAGAAATGTCTGTGACTTATTGATCAGTAGACTGGCGGTCCATTCTCTCTCTTTGAGTTCACGTTTTCTTTCTTATTCAATTGGCAAACGTTTAAGGACGATCGCTGTGTGCCAGGCACAACACCAGGCTCTTCGGGAGCCAAAGATAAGGAAGCACAGCCTCTCCTGAGACTGAGTGATTCCATCAGTGCTGGATGTTGAATGTCAGAAGGGGCAACCAGGCCGTTGGTGAACTCTCGAGAACACCTTGTTGGGGGTTTGGGGGTTGCCAAAGGTGGAAGTAATGACCAGGATGAATCAATAGTAAACCATTTTTTCGTGCCTTGGACGGTGCTCTGTGCTCCGTATAGAGAGATGAAGCAGATGAGGCCTTGTCCTGGGTGTTCAGCCTCTGTGGAAATCAGAGCGGAAACCTGTGATGATACTAGAGTTTTGCAGAGGCGGTAATGGGATGATTAATGATGAAAGGGCCTGGAAGAGATTAGAGATTTGGGATTAAAGTACAGGTTCTAAGGAGGTAGCTCTTGGAATAGAGGCAGAAGGCTTCCTCTAAGAAGGAAAAGATGGTGCTCTTGAGACAGTTTCAGATGGAGTGGAGGATAGTATGTCAGATGTAGCTGTGAGGTCAGTGAATGCAGGGATTTTCAAAGTACGGAGTAGGGATAGGTTAGAGCTTGGTTCTGAACCCTAGCTACAGGTCCCAAGTTCCTGGGAAGTTTTGACAGTGCAGCTGAGGCTGGACCCTACTCCAGACCTGTTAAACAGAATCTCTTGGGGGTGGGGATCCAGCTTAGCTATGTTTTAAAATCAACTGAGGGGATTCTAACATGCAGCCCAGGTTGAGGACCACTGTGTTAGAAAGTGGAAGAACAGGAGGATTTAGATATTTGGAAGTTAGAGGTAAAGAAAAAATTGACCAGAATCATCTGTGTTTGTTTTACATCCGGTCATTCATTGTGGGCTTACTTCCTAGCAGTGGGAAGGAGTAGGACAAAAGACTGAGGGGCCGGCCCAGTGGCATGGTGGTTCAGTTTGGCGCACTCTACTTCGGCAGCCCAGGGTTCACGGGTTCAGATCCTGGCTGGTGACCTACACCACTCATAATCCATACTGTGGCGGTGACCCACATACAAAATAGAGGAAGATTGGCTTAGATGTTAGCGTAAGGCCAATCTTCCTCACCAAAAGAAAAAAAAAAGATTGATGTGTTGAGTGTATCAGAAGGTTTAAAGAAGCAAGAAATAAAAGAATGACTGTTGTTTCCTCTTGTTCTTGACTCTCTACCACATGCCAGGCACTGTACTAAGCACTCTATCTACATCATCTTTAATCCTCACAGGAACCCAGCAAAACAAGTGGTACTAGGTGAGGAGCCAGAGTCCTAGGTGTTGGAGTTAGAATAGTGAAGAGTTCTTGGTTAGTAAGGGAGTTAAGTGGAAGTCACAGGAGGGATGTTTCAGGCAGTCAGCATAGACATTGAAACTTGGAGGAAGATAGCAAATGATGGATGGAGAGCAAGATGCTAGGTTGTGTGCTGAAGTCTCTGAGAAAGGAAGGCTAGGGTCTCAGAGGCAGGTGTGGAAAGAGTAATTGTAGTGGACTTTGGGGGTGGGGTGAAGTCTATAGATGTGTCATGGTGTAGGGAGCCAGGACAGGAGGAGCTGAGGGGAGAGGGGTGGAATGACAGCCTCCATTGCTGTCTCTGGAGATCTTGCCAGGGGTACAGGGCTCAGGAAAATTGGTTTTCAGTTGCATTATCAGTCCCAGGACTCTTAAATCTCCCAGCCCCCCATAGCAGCAAGTGAAGCGCTGGGCCTGGAGGAGGTCCAGCAAGTAGGTACTTGGTGAGTTTTAAACACACATAATAATAATGAAAGAAAAACATGCCCAGCCCCACCCCCACTAATTCTGCCTCACAAGGCCACTGTTAAAAACTTATTTTGTGACCTATACATGACTGCATTGATGCTTTAAAGGTCTCGTCTTAGGTGCCAGGTCCACATTCTGGAATTTTCTGACTGTCTTTAGTGCTTATCAAAGTAACTACCATTGATGGGCCTTTATTTTTTCCTCTGGTAGCAGCATTATTTTTTTTCCCTACTCTCTTTGTTTTGTAATTGATTAATAATTCTGAATAATTTTTATTTTTTCTCTTTACATTCTAGGAGAAGCCAGTTTTTTTTTACTTTCTTGCATCCTTATAGTTTGTTCAAATTTTAGTAATCTTCTTTTTCCTTTGATGTTTATCATTCAGCTAGGGTAATTACTAAGAGGAAAGTAGTTCAGAGTTGCTGTATAACTTGTCAAGTTTTTAAAGCATCATATATTAATTAAACTTTTAAAATTCAGCATAGTGGCACTTTTTTCTCTTTTAATTATTATTTCCCTTTAAGTTTTTTATACTGAATGTTCAGGAATTTCTTAAAACATGATTAGTCATTTCAGGAATAAAACTATATCACACTACCAAGTTAATTTGATAGTTTATTCCATTTTACATTTATACAGAAAGTTAAAGTAGTAATTGGGCATTTAGAATCTGGAAGCTTTAGGTGTATTTTGGTAACACTGTTATTTGGATTTAAGTGGCACAAGGATGGGAACCACCTGGTCGGTGTTACTGAAATCTGTTTCTTACGTTTTTAGAGGCTTCGTGACGGTGTGATCAGAGACATTGAGAGACAAAATCGGAAAAAAGAAAACATTCGTCTTTTGGGAGAACAGATTATTTTGACTGAGCAACTTGAAGCAGAAAGAGAGAAGATGGTATTGGCAAAAGGATCTCAAAAAACATGACTTGAAATGAATGTGAAAAATCCATGAGACAGACAGCATTGTGTGTGTGTGTGTTGATGGAGAGTAGCTTAGTGAAATTTCAATCCTTTTTTGGTCACCATCTTTTTAAACTTGATCAAAAAAAGGACTATGGATCATATATTCTAAATTATTTAAAAATTTCTTATATCTCAGTAAAGCAGTGGGCAGATGCTTTTCTGAAGAGTTTCCATTTGTGCGATCCTGTTAGAAGCCCCTTTTAGCTTGGTGTGCAGAGCTTAGGACTGTTACTGAAAAGCACTTCTGAACCTGTGAGAAGGAAGAGATGGATAGTAGCATCCACCTCAGTAGTTTAATAAGTCGGCACGATGATGAAGCCACAAGAACGTCTACCTCAGAAGGACTGGAGGAGGGGGAGGTGGAGGGGGAGACTCTCCTGATTGTTGAGTCGGAGGACCAGGCGTCGGTGGACTTATCTCATGATCAGAGTGGGGATTCCCTCAACAGTGATGAAGGAGACATGTCGTGGATGGAGGAGCAGCTGTCCTACTTCTGTGACAAGTGCCAAAAATGGATACCAGCCAGTAAGGAGCTTCTCACTTCCTTTGATTTGTTAATTCCTATGTGAAAGTTTGTTTTTCTATCTGTGAAAGAAACATGAATGTAAAGTAGACCTAAATAAAAAGATAATTATTATATTTATTATAGTTTAGTCAATTAATTACAAATTTATATAAAACATAGGCACGTTTGTACTAATAAAAGTTACTGTCAACCTCTATCATGTTAACGTTCTTGATGGTAATCCAATAAAAATTAGAAAATTGCAAATCCTGTGTCATTTAAAGAGTTAGCCACATTTTTCTAACAAGATCATCTTGTTATGGATTTGGGGCCAAATTATAGACCTAGTGTCGAATTAAAATTCAAGGTCAGAAAAATTACTCTCTTAGTATTTAACTTACGTGGAAAACTCCTGCTATTGTATGCTGAAATAAAGTCAGAATTAGCAGATTAAAAGTGTTCTGTGCCCCTATTCTAAGACCATTCTTATTTTCTGCTTGCTGGCCTCCTTGATCCACTGGCGAGAGATACATACTCACATGCTCCCTTGTCACCTCAGTCTTTCAGCTCCGTCTTCTCAACTGCCAGCTTCCTAGCTGTCAAGGAGTATGCTTTGCCAGCTATCGTGAGATTTACCAAAACAGGATTTTTCCATTAGCCAGAGACTAATAAAGACATATGTACTGCAGGAATTATTTGTGTAATGGAATTTGTAGCTAGGTCAGAGAAATTTTTATATATAATTGTGATGAGGGTCATTTTTGGATATGTGGAAGTGTTTTTAAGATGGATTCAACTATTCAGATTAATAGTTACTATTAATAAATAACATTTTCACAGAAAACAAACCTGGGATTTATTATGTTAGCTAGTTTTTGCCTCTGAGCTCTCTCTGCTTATTAATTCAGGGCTCTGCCTGAAAGTCTCAGTGGCGTTCCCCTTGTCCTCGCAGGATGTGTTTTAAACTGTCCTTCATGATCGGGCCCTGACACCTGCTTCAGCCTCTCTCCTTGGTGTCCTCCTATCCACACACATGAACAGAACTTTGTAGTTAGGGTGAACTTTGAATTCTCCACCAACAATTCTGTCTTATCCCTAGGACTTTGCACATTTTACTTTCCTCTCTGGACTACGCGTCCAACCCCCTACAGACTCCATCCCGCCTCCCATATGCACAAGCACCTGTCGTCACCTGGCCAATCCCAGTCATCCGTCACATCCCCTGTAGACCCCACTTTTTCCAGCTCACTTCTCCTGCTAATGCAGATTGGGCATCTCTTTTATGTGCCCTCACATTGCCCTACGGTGTACATCACATTCCCCTCCAGTGGTTTTCCTGTCTCCCAGAGCATCAGCATCACCTGGGGAACTTTAAAAAGTGTAGAGACTCAGGCCCCGCTTTCAGAGACTGATTCATTTTGTGTGGGATAGGCCTAGGCATATCGAAAACCATCAGTAGCTCCCTGGGTGATCCTGAAGCATAGTGGGGCTCGAGAACTGCTGTGCTGTTGTGATTACCTGTTTCCTGTTATGTAGCCCTCACGGAATTTGCCAACTGCTGAGACCAGGCACTATGTCTGTCTTGGGTGTTCCCGGTTCCTAGCCCAGGGCTGGCACAGTGGGAGCTCAGCTATTTCTTGAATGAATGTGTGAAGAGACTTCCTGTAGGAGTCAGGATGTTAACAGTTGGAATATCCACTGAGAACAATAATACCTGCTTTTCTAGTACCTTGCTCCCAAAAGTTAGGGAACCACAGATCTGTCTTAGTGGGCATACACTTGATGTTAGAACGACAATCTCTACTCCTTTCCCCACCCCCATCCTGCTCTCATGGATTGGCTGAAAAAAATGAAAAAGCATAGAAAACTTGAAAATCTGGTTGATAAACTGGTTAAATCTTTGAGTTAACCACTGCTCTAGAAACACCTGTGATGTACCTTTTTGTTTTTCTCCTAGGTCAGCTGAGGGAACAGCTCAGTTACCTTAAGGGTGACAATTTTTTTAGGTTTACGTGTTCTGATTGCTCAGAAGATGGCAAGGAGCAGTATGAAAGGCTGAAGCTGACATGGCAGCAAGTGAGTAAAAAGCTTTTACTCTGGAATTTGTGAGGTTGGTCCCCCAAGGAGTTTATGGGAATAAATATCGAGAGGATGAGGAAATGATGTATGAGCTTTTGAGTTGTTTTGAGGGTAACTTTTTATTTCACAATGAATATGATAATAAATACGTGGAGAAAGGAGTCCTGGGTAAAAATGCTTGCTGCTAACTTAGTGAATTGGGTTTGAGATTCTTGAAAATCTCTCCACATGATTTCATTTATATATAATACTGTAGACGCCCTCCCCCTCCACTCCCTTAGCCAGCCCTGGTGGTCTAGTGGTTAAGATTTGGTGCTCTCAGTTCTGTGGCCCAGGTTCATTTCCCGGTCAAGGAACCATGCCACTCGTCTGCTGATTGTCATACTGTGGCAGCTATGTGTTGCTGTGATGCTGAAAGCTATGCCACTGATATTTCAGATACCAGCAGAGTCACCCATGGTGGACAGGTTTCAGTGGAGCTTCCAGACTAAGACTAGGAAGAAGGACCTGCCCACCCACTTCTGAAAACTGGCCATGAAAACCCAGTGAATAACAGCAGAGCCTTGTCTGCTGTAGTGTGTTGGAAGGTGAGAGGATGAAGCCAAAAAGACCAGGCAGGGTTCCGGGTCGCTAGGAGTCAGAATTGATTTGATGGCACTAACAACAAAGTACCCCCTTATCTGTGAGGATACATTCCATGACCCCCAGTGGATGCCTGAAACCACAGATAGCACTGAACCCTATATGTACTGTGTTTTTTCCTATACACACATACCTCTGATAAAGTTTAATTTATAAATTAGGCACAGTAAGAGATTAGCAGCAATAACCAATAATAAAATAGAACAATTATGCAATATACTATAATAAAAATAGATCTTATCAACCTCACCTTATGATTTTTTTCTTTCTTTATTAAGCTGAGAACTTTCCCCTTCCCTTTGGCCTATCCACATTGCCAGCATCACTACTCTTGCAGTTTGGGGCCGTTATTAAGTAAAATGAGGGTTCCTTGAACCCAACACTGCAGTACTGTGATAGTTGATCTGATAATCGAAAGGCTACTGTGACTAACAGGCGGGTAGTGTGTGCAGCGTGGATCTGCTAGACAAAGGGTGATTCACGTGCTAGGTGGGACAGAGCGGGGTGGCTTGAGATTTCGTCAGGCTACTCAGAACAGCGCACAATTTAAAACTTATAAAGTGTTTATTTCTGGAATTTTCCATGTAATATTTTCCAACTGTGGGTAACTGAAACTGCAGATAATGGGGGACTACTCTGCCAAACTGACTTTAATTGAAGAAGTTTGAGTTTTTCTGGCAGCCAGTTTTAGAACAATAAAACCATGTTTAAAAATGTGAAGATGGCCACATTGGAAATAGATTTGGAAGACAAATGTGGCTGATTGCAGACACCAACATAATCCAGCTTTTCTGCATTTGAACTCAGACACGTTTGACTATTTTTTGTTTGATGAATACTCATGTGCACTTTTAACTGTCTCCAATACCAACACCCTAATCCAAGCCAACTATAGCCTGAACGGTAGCTTTTAACTGATCCCTGGGTTGTATTAATTTTTTAGATTTTGTTTTTCTATTACTGCGTCTATAAAGAGACACCAATGTATATTCAGTCTTTAAGTTCCAAACACTATTTATAAATTAGACATGACTCGGTTTTTATGTTTATTCATTCAGCAGGTTTTGAGTGCCTGTGTGAACCAGGCACTGTTGTAGGCCTGGAAACTGCTGTGATGAGACAGCTAAGAGCCCTGCCCTGGCAGCTGACATTCTAGATATTTATTTTAGACAGTAAGCAGACAGATAGGTTAATTACCCATAGCACTTTTTCTATGAAGGAAATAAATAGGGTAGTGAGAAAGAGATTTTAGATTATGCCATCTAAGCCACTTAAGGTGTTCCTTGTAAATTGTAGTTGTGTTAGCAGGCTTAGACTGTTATCTTAATTATCAATGCTCTATTAGGACATCTCCTAATGAAACCTGTCAGTGGTGAATTTAGGGAGCCTTTTTTGACTTGCCTGAAAATATGTAGATAGAAAATGAAGCGAAGTTTGTATTGAGGATATAGTCTCCTGAGTGTTATAGTTGGGATTTTTTTCCAAAGTGTACATGGGATACTATGTCTAGGCAAGGTCAGATTAATATTAATTGATTATTCTCATGTGTGTACACATAGGCAGATTCGCGTCTGGTCTCCAAATAGCTTCTCATAAAACTGTAAAATGCAGGAAGAGCAAATACATGTACCTTGTTATTTTCAAGAATATGAGTTTTCTGTGGAGGTTCTCCTTTGAAAGAACTACTGGCTTTTTGTTATATTGCTCAAAATATATAATATTGGCTCAATTTGCGTATTTAATTAGACTCATCACTTGAAAATTATTTTCTCACTTCCAAAAGCCATGGTGGTGGTGGATAGTACCCTGGTGTGATGAAGTGAGAACTTGGATCAGACACCTCTGGGTCTTGGCAAACTACTGACCATTGTTTCTAATTGCATCTGAAAAACCCAGTCTCTCATGGAAGAGCTGGGAGAGAATCAGTTGATTTTGAATAGATTCTCTAGCTCTGTATACTTAATATATTAGAATGTGGATTTTCTGTCTTTTTAAATCTTAAACTTTGTTGATTTATTGAAGTAATACGTTAAAATGTTGGTTTGTATTACAAAATACCAAGTATGGTCTCCTGACTAAAAGGCTCCTGCCTCCCA